GTTTAATATGAGCTTGAATTGAAAGATAGAGGCACATGACCAGGGTCACGTTTGTTCTCACAGTTCTGAGAATGACTTAGAGATGGTCACAGAGATGCGCACACACAGTGAAAATGTCCTGGGACTGTTTACTGCACCGTAGCAGTCCAGATGTTTTCCTGTCATCGTACTAACTGACTCACTGAGCCATGCTCTTGTGTTGTTTTAGGAAATTCATAAAATTGTATATAAATAAATATAAATTAACAGCAATACCTTCTCCAGTCAGTCTTGGAATCTCTGTTTTTGTGTCCCTGACATGGTGCTCCAGCTTCATTACCCTCAGAGGAGTTATGTAGGCTTTTCATGTGATGCAGTGTGAAACTTGCCATTAATCATGCTATCCTATGCAGCAACGAGGTGGATGGGAGCCTTGAACCTGACCTCATTTTAAAGCTTTCTGTTGCAGTGCTGTGATCTAATGGTGTTGACTCAGCTTTTATGTTCAAGCAGTTATTTCCTTTTGCTATGTTAGCCAGCTTTTATGCTCAAATCTCTTTGCCTTTTGTTGTGCTGCTAGTTCAACAACACAGATAAATGGCACTTCTCTTCAAATACGTAATCTTCATCATGCTAACTAAATACTCTGATTACTGTTTGTAATTTAGACTTTCAATAAAAAAAAGCCACACTTGTTATTGTGCCCTGGCAGATTAGCTGTATTTGACAAAGAATATTTAAAAAGTGGCTTATTTGTCTTCATGCTAATATTTTTCTACATCTGGCCCTTCTTTTTATTACCCTTAAGAGGCCTCAGGGCATAGCACTGCAAAGTCCAAAGTGGATCTGGCAAGCCCTGAGAAAAGCATTCGGCAGACCTCTCATCCTCAGCATCACGTTCCGCTTCCTGGCCGACCTGCTGGGCTTTGCCGGTCCTCTCTGCATATCTGGCATAGTCCACCACATCAGCAAAGACAATCGCACCATTCAGCCACCGGTGAGGCCATGCACACAGCACAACATAACATAAAAAATATTGTTATTAGCAGGTACGGATGCTGAATTTTTACTGGTCCGACATTTAAATACGTTTTATTGCATTTGTTCAGGTAATGAGAGCAGCTTTAGGCATAACAGAGACATTACATAGCTTCCTCTGGCCTCTCAAAGGTTATGATGCCCTGTCTCCCCTGCACACCTGCCTGATGGTGCTCTAATTTAAACTTCGTCAAATATTTATGAGACTTACTGCTTTAGAAGTTGTCTCTGGTCGGGTGTCTTTCTGTAAGAATAACTCTTCAATTATTTGTTTGAAAGTCAAGTCCAATGCAGGGAACGGTAAGAAAAAATAGACTTACAGTAAGAAGCACTCAGTAAATATTCTTGTCTGCAGGGCAACAAGCTGAAAAATAGTGACAATTTCAGCCAATGAGTATCGAGAGAGCAAAACAAGGGAAAGTTACAAGGATGAGTTGCCATGGAGTGCAGACATATTTCTAATCAATAATTTGTAATTCCCTCTGGGAGAACGATGACTTCGTTATGCAGGATTCATACATTTTTGAGAGAGATACCGTGTCCCTGTTCTTCTTGGGTTTCCAGCCTACACCCACATATCAGCTGTGCGTTTCACTCCAAAGCCTCTGTTTCATTTCAGTTTAATTGAGTTTCATGCACAATATTAAAGCTTGCTCTGAAATGGAGGTAATATGTTTTAAATGGATGATGTTTTCCTCAAATTTTGAAGTGATGAACGGGAACATTTGTAGCTGAAATTAAAAATCCAGGGGAGTTCAGCCTATATTCCTAACAACTGTTCCTGCTTGTCTAACATCTCCCTGTGTCTGCACTCCCAGATTAAGCTGCTTGGGATCTATTTCATTTCCTCCAAGGAGTTTCTGGAGAACGCATACGTGTTGGCTGTGCTGCTCTTCTTCGCCCTACTCCTGCAGAGGACTTTCCTCCAGGCCTCTTACTATGTGGCTATTGAAACAGGCATCAACCTGCGTGGAGCCATACAGGTACACTGCACTGATCTGTTCTCTAAGGAAACTTTGTTTATGAGACGTTTAAAGATCTTTTATTGGAAAACTGAAGTCTGATAAACTCAGTGGC